AATATAATGTACTTCATCGAATATAACGAACTCTAAATCTCTGGTAACGTCAGAGCCGCAGTAGAGCATGGAGCGCAGGATCTCTGTGGTCATCACGAGGCAGGAGGCAGTCGCATTGATCTGCAGGTCCCCTGTCAGCAAGCCAACTTCACCGAACATTTTGTTGAAATCATTGTACTTTTGATTGGATAACGCCTTGATTGGTGATGTGTATATTGCCCTGTTATTGAATTAGTACGAGCTATTTAGTTAATTACTAGCTTTCTACTAAATTATTAGTAGCCTATATGTTCTAGAGTATGTTCTACATCTATGCCAAATTTTAGCATGATCCATGCAGCTTTATTGGAGATATCTTTTAACAAACATCCATCCATCCATCCAAACGTATTTATAATATTAGTAAGAATTACTATAGAAGTAAAGATGGAGTTACAAATCATTAAATTAAAAGTAACTTTGAAGTACCAAAACATTCGAACCAAAGTATAGATTTCTTTCTATCTGTAGAACTTAATTCGTAAAAGTACAAAGTAAGTAAAACATGTGTTACCTTGTACAATTCCTCCTGGACATAGCAATAGCATATTCCGCTACGACAGTCTTACCAGCCGACGTATGTGCGGCCACAAACACATGATGACCTTCTTCCAGTTTTAGTATAGCCTACAATGTAATATCAATACAAGTGATTAATATAAAAAAAATTAAGCCTGACTGTACTCCTATAGTATTTAAAAAGACTTTAATTTGAATGTAGGGTCAGCGCCAGCATATAACCCTGTTAACCTCTTCCTACAGGCACGGTAACAAAAGAGGGCGTCGTAGAAATCACGGCCAGGGCGTTAGTAAAGTTAAAACCATTATTGGCCAAATGATACTTCACTTTTCAAATTTATTTAACATATAAAAGTACCTAACGTTTGATTTGGCACGCTGGCAATAAGAGTATACTTCTGCTAAATATGCCAACTCACACTTCAAGTACTATACTTATAAAAATCTTTACTCTACTGCCATTTTTGCAAAAATTCATAAAGACATCAAAAAATATTACCTGCTTTTGAAAATTATCCAACTCAAATGGATATGAGTGTGCCATATCCCGTAATTTCTCTCTAAAATCCGGCACAGGTAGTGTAACATCAATCATTTCTGCCCAATCAGTGGATGTTACCGCCATCCTGCCTTTAGAACTTGTAATATTCAGTACTGGTATCTCCGGAAGTTCTATTGGAGGTTTTATTATTGTACTCTCTAAGAAGTTATCACTCTCAGTTGTGTCAATATCTAGATCAATTTTCTTTGACTTTTGTACTATTTTAGGTTTTAATTCAGCTCCATCGTCATCTTTCCATAAATCTACGAAAAAAAAAATTCGGAAGCTTTTAATTTAAATTAAGAAACTAACATAATAAACCAATTGTTTATACTTGATGTTAAAATTATAGGAGACATCATTTTAATATGACATTTCTATCAAATATTTTTGTTTGTAACCAACTTATACATCCCTGTTTGGAACCTAGCAAAGGTTAGGGGTGACTAAGCCATAGTTGACAACACTAGCCCAGTGAGTTTTACTTGGCTTCACACATATCACAATATTGTCATTCACATTAAGAACTTTTTTTATGTATACAACTGTATCTATGTGTGCTAACATGACTCATTAATTCAACAAACATTGATAATTTCTCAATCTAAATAAAAGATAATTCTCACCTACTAAATGCACATTATTGTCAACAACTTCTTCAAGATTAATTTTAACAAGTTTATCAATATCTTCCTTGTCCAATTTTTGTTCACTTGTACCGCCACTTTTTAGTAGAGTAAAACCATCATTTTGAAAAAGAACACTCTCATTACTTCCTGGAGGCATAGTCAGTAATTCTGGAACACAGTAAAAGGTTAGTCAAAAAAATATTTTTAACATTGAAATTTAAATTAATTAGAAGTTTAATTTCAATAATTACTATACTGATGCTATCAGAAGGTTGACCAAAAAGCAACCCCATTAATCTTGTAAGATACTTCTTAACTTGTAAAATTAAATTTAATTACTAAACAGTAATTAGTGTACCTTCTCCTAAAAACTTTCCAGGTTCATCATCCTCCAAGTTAATATTGATTTCACCACTATTAGCAGCTTCATCCAACATTTTCTGGAGTTCTTCCTCAAAGCCAGCAGGTAAAAAAGGGTTTTGTGTTGTGGTGCCCCTGGTAGCAAGGCTTGGTGGTAGAGGTGCCCGGGCCATAGACAAACAATCATCATCATCTTCTACCGGTATACTTACTTCTTCTAAACCAACTATCTCTCCAGTTATAGGGTCTCTAATAATCTAAAGGTAATAAACATTTTTTTTTTGTATTTTAAATTATAGTTTGCTACTTATATATTTTCTACCATACAATCAAACTTTATTTCCAATAAATGACTAGTTAATTTGAAAACCCAGCAATCCAGCAAAAACCCGTTTATTAAGATAAGTTTCACTTATGCTTAGTTGCAAAAAATACAGCTTATTCTAATATTATACATACATCTAATGTGGTATCGAGACCGATGTCTTCATCTTCAAACTTAATTAAGGAATCTATGTCCGTTGTTCTGTGCCAATGTGTTTGTGATCTTTCCCATTTATGTATTGATAGTCTTTCAGGTTTTAACAAATATTCTTTCACACGATCATTTAAATCGTCGAAAATCGGTGGTATCTGAAAAAAATTGACTGTCAAAAACATTTTTCATTTTCCAGATTTTTTGGCGGTACTATCTATTTACCTTAAAATCAGCAAATTCGTTTTCTATCTGAGCCGACATTTTGTAATTAATTGAAAAAGTTATTTGTAGAGTATTATTAAATTAAACACACATTTCTTACAATGTTTTTAAAAGATGACATGACATTAACTGACAGTTGTTGCAAATTGACAACTCAATTAACTTCAATAACCAATGACAAGTGACAAGAGGATCCATGGTCCATGTTGGTGCCGTTCCATTACAGCATACATATGTTTCTATACGCTACCCAGTAAAATGTCCAAAAAAAAATCCACGGATCAAGCATAGTCATTGAACAAGATAGGGATATAGCGAACTCTGCCACTATACTACGGCCCAAAACCGTGCAGTAAAACAGGCGTAAAGTAAAAGTATTTTCGTTAGTTTAAGTATTCTTGTCCATTTGTGTTTTGCATACATTTTTGTATTAGAAAAAAGATGAAAAGGGGAAGTGGATTTGACGAGGAACCGGACGTAGAAAGAGGAATATGTTTTCATTATCACTTATTACCCTGTGAATTGTATTATATCTGGCATCATGATACATTTTATTACAATTCTAAAAGGCTATCTAAAACCGAATATTAATAAAATGCTAATACATATTAATTACTACTTTTTGTTAAAATAATAGTCGCCTTCTTATTCCACTTAAGTAGTTCAATCATCTTTTTCAAGTTTGTTTTTGTTAAGAGGAAAGACCATTATTTAAGTAAATATTAAATAGAGTGAGTTATGAATAATATTTGTTAGCATTAAAATATTTGGATAGGTTTTAAAACATATTTGATTTGCCATATTCGAAAATAATGTTGTCAATTTTCTAAATCAGTCTATTTTTTTACACCAGGTGACCTTATATTCAAATCGCATCCGCCTAATATTTTTAAAATATGTTTATTTTTAAATACTGATACAGGCATATAGAACCGAAGTGAGTCTGTATGCTAATGGCCTGCTTAAGTGGCATAATGTCTGATTCCGAAGAAACGAAATTGCACCACATTTTATTTAAGGTTGATCTTAATTAGTGAGGAGACTAAAGCAACTTTAAAGTAGTCAGGTAGGTGGTATGACGATGGAATCTTTTTGCTTTCTACGAACTACGTATTAAGATGTAATTCCTTAAAAAGTTAGTAAAGTAAGAGGTAAGATATAGTAAGAGTACAAATTAACCAAATTGATATTTCATTAACGAATACGCACATATACTCACTTTATGTAAATGGTTAAGCCCGCATTGAGGTACTTTTAATTTGTTTTAGAAGAAATCAAGATTATGATATCTCTCACGACCTTATTACCTTAATAAGCTTGTCATACTATGCAGAGACATCTCTCATTAACATATTTAACTCCACTGACGATAATTACGTGGGAATATCCATAGTTTTAATTTTAATGTAATAGATTTTTGATTGAAAATTAATGAATTTAAAATAAACATTCGTTAATTTTAGAGATATACCGTATCCTATGTTTTTCATATAAAAATAAAATAAAAATGACCCATCTAGCGTATTATCTAGATGGGTTTGTGTCTCTTAAAAGCATCCACTGACGTCATAAACCAATACTGCATTTGCGATTCGGGAGTCACCTGTTACTTACCGAATAATAAAAAAAGCTCGATCGAAATCTTGCGCATGAAGCTTTTTTCTTTCTTAAATTCGCAAACAGGTATTGTTACAGCTACAAGAACATATACGATTAAATAACTTAGTAAATATTTATACTTCCTGTACTATTTAATACAATTTGTTACACGCAATGACAAAAGTAAAAGTGAGCGTTTTTGTTTTGTAGGAAGTTATGACGTATTTAATATTTATAAGTACATACAAAATATTATGTAATGTAAGTCCTTTACACTTAACTCTGTTATTTTCATTTATTTTATGTTCTGTATGTGACAAGGAGATAGAACCTATAGTCCCTTATAATACGTATAAAAGTTATTGTACATGCATTAGTTTAAATCTTGTGATACTCGTGTAAATACAATGAGTACTGCAAGGGCATTTTTTAAAATAAATCTTGTGCAATTGTAGTATCTTATTAAATAATAGGATGCTATTGTTAAGGAAGTCTAATCGCTAAATAAACACATAAGAAAAAAGCGCATCATTAACATATTTTTTATATATGTATTATGTTAAGCCGATACAGGTACGTGAGTCATGAAGCCTTCGGTACGAAGGCTGCAAACTGGTTGGTCCCATACTCGCCTCAATCTCGTCGTGTCTTCGTAAGAAGGCGGACCATCGGTGGCGTCTGCCTTCAACGAACTCAATAGTAAATTACGTTACAAATAAAAAAAGTTCTAATTCATTAATAATGACTCGTTATCTGTGGTCATATGTGACAGTTTTGTGTTTGACGAATTTGGCGCTAAAATCTACGAATTGTCAATCAGAGGTATGAATTAAATCAAATTATTGATATTTATTTATATTATTTTAACAGTAAAATTAAAAACAAATGGAATTAAATGTCTATTTTTTATTTATATAATTTAATTTCAAAAGCAACTATTATTTATTGACTTATTATGACACTAGAAATATTAAATTTCCAGAAATAATCAACCCAAAGTAGGGAAATTATAATTTTAGATTTTTTTTACATAGAGGTTAAAGGTTTAATATTACTTACCAATATTTACTCGCTAATTTCATAAATAATTTGTTAACAATAATGCTAAATTATTATGTGGAAGTTCGAAAATAGTTCCTGCAAAATAAAATAAAAATTTACGCAAGCCATTAATAACGACAAAAGAAATTGATCGAAAGTAAAAGTTTTTACATAATATAAGAAATTAACTTTTATACTGGTGAGCCAAACCTCTAATGTTAATTAACCTGGCTAGGATAAAAATTTCATTATTTTATAAAAATATTTACGGTTGACAAAATGCGCGTGCGATGATTGAAGTGCGAAAAATGCAGTTGGCGGCGAAACGGGAAGCAAACGGCGTCTCGCACCATGTTTGTAGGACAGGCAGTGCTATGACAGCACGTGCTAGTTCGCGCCATAAATACTTTAGGCACTTATAAACATGGCTTTTTAAAATACATTTATATTTATTGTCGTATTTCAAAGACAATAGAATAAAATACGAACAGTTTAGACACAGACAAGAAAAAAAGTGGAATATTTTAGTTAAAAAATACATCGTTTTTTATCTAAATTATTTGTATTAATTGACACATTGTCATTACCTTTATTGTCAACTTATTTCCCAACTTAAGTAATTGTAGTCCGGTGAAGATTCTGCTCAGTTGGGCAGCCGTGTCATGGTCGAAAGTAACAACGGGGTGTACAATGGCATATTAATGTGTAGATTATGGAAAAATGCCGCAAACAGTCCTTGACAGCATTCGTATAGCATATGTGTAGGCTTGTCTCCTATAAAAATTAATAATTTCATAAAGGATGGTCATATTGTATTACGTAGGATGAACATTATAATCATTGCTTACTGCTTACTTACATAACTCACGTTAAATTATTAACTCTTATTGGTATTACAAAGTACACGAAGACATTACTAAAACTATGTATATTACATAGCAAGGGTGGTTTTATCATTATAAGCGATCATCGAATTATCCAGTTCTAAAATTTAAAAAAAAACAGATTATAAGCAATCAGATTAAAAGCTTATTCATGGCTAAGTAAAGTTTAATATTTACACATATTTTTGCATATTTAGAAAAGATAAATATTTGGCATCAAATTATATAACTTAAGCTTCATCAACAGCATTAAACAAGTATATTATTTTTGTTTAATATTTTTTTTTATTTTATAATCTGGGAAGTACTAAAGTTACAAAATTGTTGTGCCTGTGTTGATTTATTTAGTACTAATCGTACCTTGAGTTTGAAGTGAACGTCCATATTTCCTACTCAAGTATCCATTCTATTCGTGCTTTGTAATTATCTCTCCATAATATTACATATTACAACAGTGACTGGTGTTATCCTTGTAAATAATGTTAAAGTAACTTATAGTTTAATTTAAATTTAATATACGTATAATAAAGACCTTATAATGTTCACAGTTGAAAGGGAACGTAAAATAAATAAAAAATCTATACAATCAAAATAATATTATAGACTGGAAATCTATCCTGAAAGGCCTACCATACGTTTATTTTAATATGATCAACGCTTTTGTAACGCATAGATGATACGCACTCAAACATGACTACAACCAAAAAACTCACAAACAACTAAAAAATACAACTAATAAATAAGTCGTTGATCTTTTCGCTCTTAAAATTTAAGGTGGGCAGAGAGGAAAAGATATTATGCAGATTGACATCTATCTTTGGTATTTTTTATAGTAATTTATGTTTACAGTACCTTGACCTGATAAACCGTGAGTCAGATATAACCAATTATTCATAACTTTTAGTGCTCATCTTATGAAATATTAATAAGTGTGTTTACTAACATACATAATGTATAAAGAGTTCGAATTTTCTATATCCCCGGCAGCTGATGCAAAGTTAGCTTGCACGCGACTTTCGCTTTCTTCACTTTGAATTATAGACTATTATTCTATAAACGTAATTCATTTGCATGTTTATGCAATTGATTGCATGATGTGTTAATGTTTGAAGCTACGGTACGATTTTTCCACAGGAATAACGAAATAACAAATAAATAAAATTAGTTGAAAAGACGCGCGTAGTTTTTTATTTATTTAAAAGGTCTGATTATTCTAATGGATTGTAAAGTCTTGATGGGGTGGTTGCGTAAAATTACACGATATAATGTTCACAATTATTTGGTACGCATTTCAAATGTTTGAATCTTTTTAAACAGAAAGATAAACATTGCATGGAACAATCGTAATAGAGACATACTAAGCATCTTAATTGAGTTTCATTGTCATAGGATGTGTGTAACTTGCTTTATAGTAAGTTTATGCAAGAGTTGTCACTACTCTACATTGGCCCTTCGCATGTGGGTATACCCTAATCACACGCTCAAACATTGTACACATAACTACGTACAAACTATGTATAGTTTGTTGACTATATTATCTATACATATAAATAAAATTGTAGTGTCGGTTTGTAATATTGAAATAACCGTTTTTTCTACATGTATATAAATATAGAATCGGCGCATACACCAAAATAACAATTTTTTACAATTTTTGTCTGTCCCGGTCAATATCTGTAATGGCTAGACCGATTTTGACAGAACTTTTATTAGAAGGTATAATAGATGATGTTATAAGGAGTAACTTAGACTACATTTATTTTAGAAAAATGCTTCTATTTTAGGACAATAAAGTGATGTTTCAATGTTCAAGTACTGTCTAGCACCACGCGCAGCTCAAAGACAGTATCATACACAGACGAAGTCGCGGGCACAGCTAGTTGTAGGTTAAAAATTATATTAAGTGGGACATGTATTTTCTTCGTTTCTTTATCTTTCTTTCCCCTTTTTACACAATTCTTTGTTCTAATTCATCTTTTGTGATTTCATCAAAAATATTGGATATTGTTTATTTGTTTGGTATCTTTGTCAATAAAAATAACAAACTTGAAATGTAGATATTGCAATAATAATACATTAATAGAGTTGACTGTCTGATAAAGCGCATTAAGTAATTAATGGCGGAATAACATTGCCTCAGAACTATCTAGATTCTATTTACAATCATATGAATTCCAATATATCGAGGTTTACTCATAAAAACTTTTGTAATATTTGCAAGTTTCTTTATCACCAGTAACAAGATGATATAAAACCTTTTTTAATTTTTAATATTTTTACATGCTCAAGAAATATAACTTTCACACTAAATTTTTACTAGCCCACGTATAATCGAATACAAGTTATAAACAAATTTGTAAAGGTTGTTATTTTTCAATTTCACACGGTACAATCCGGCACGATTGATTTCAAATAATTTCACGGGCTAATTTTTGAGCTACTTTGTTATTAGTATGAAACAAAATTTAAATGTGTAAAAAATTATAAATCCAAATTAAGAGGAACAGTTAGAAATACAACGAACCAGTCAAATCTCTCTCCCCGAATTAGGTACCCAAAACCCCTTAAATAATAATCCTGAAACTGCGCCTGGTTACTTATAACCGGCGTCTAACAATGCATTGGCAACATACATAATAAATGCGATTTCGAAACAAACAAATTTCTAAAAAAGATGGAAGTTAAATAGACCACAAAACTTTTTGTCCAAAGCATAAAAAGTAACACGACAATGGCTGGCGATCAATAGTTATAATAATTTATTTCTTTTGTTTCAGGCAGTGGTAGCAAAACATGCATGTGTGATAGGCGCGGGATACTCCGGCCTGGCTGCCGCTAGGTACTTGCAAGAGTATGGAGTCAACTTCACCGTGTACGAGGCGTCGCGGCACATTGGCGGCACGTGGCGTTTTGACCCTCATGTCGGCACTGATGAAGATGGCCTGCCGCTGTTCACCAGCATGTATAAGAAACTAAGGTATTGGCAGCTTCCATCTTTATCCCCATAAAGATACTCAATTTCGAATCCCCTAACGCTCCTCTACTCCTAAATTGTGTACAATGCAGCGAATCATGCGATGCCTCTCCTAGAATCCCCACTGATTTACTCCTTGATACCTTTACATCAATTCTTTGAAGGATACGAATCAAATAACACACACACACACACCAAAATAAAGGGCTTTAAAGCTAGTGGCGATCACATTGAAGCAGCAACTAAAGGTAGTAATAAACCGTTCATATAAATCATATGGTTAATTAGTTCATCATATCTTAGGAGCTATACAGAGTATGTTATATTAAAGAGAAAGCTTAACAAAGTCGCTGAACTTTGTTGCCTCATATCGTCATACTGTATCCAGTTGCCTAATCTCTTAAGTAATTGTGTATGTACTAATTGACGTAACACGTAGCATTTAACTCCTAACCCGTTAACCGACAAATAGAGAATCTGTGTTACTTACATGCTTTATATCCGCAATTTACCTTACTTTATTTAGGTATGTAATGGTTAGGTATAAAAATTATAAAATATTCTCATATGTCCAAACATGTATGTATTGACGTAATACAAATATGTTATTCCTTACTAACGGTTGCTTACGACTTTGTCAGCTCTGATTAAAAAAAAATAGCCTAAGTTACTCCCGCACATGTGAGCTATCTTACAGTAAACGTCTTGTCAAAATCCGTCCAGCTGTGATTGAGAGATTGACAGACAATATTATTAAATATGTAATTTCGTTATAAGCAACGCAAATGTCTTGTTCGCAAAATATATTTTTTTCGGCATTGCATACAGTCACTGCATTTCTATATATACTAGTATATTGTGTATTGGGTTATCTGTGGTATCAAATGAAACCCGAATAATAAGAATTTTGTCAGCCGGCATAACTAAACATCTCACAAGAAGCTTTGCGTATTCTAGAGCTATCTAACTTAATAGATGTTTTTAAAATGTATTTAGAGCATTCAAATGTCACGAAACGGTCCTAAACGATTATGGCAAAAATATCTGAATATATCAATATTTAATTGAATAAAGAAGTCTTATATCTTTTACTGTGTCTGTTGTAACATGTGTCTAATTTAGGAAAAAAATGATTTATTTAGTTTTTACTATGACTTGGTACATTTGATTCGGAATCCAAAAAAGAATATTTCTTAAGGCACTGGCACTTATCTGACGTTCTTACGTTTAAGAGAAACGGTGTGATGTAATCTGCGTCTATCCAGTCTCGCATAACTCTATTGACTGAGGTCTAGTCATCTCCAAACAGGGACTCGAGCTGTTCTATAGGGATTTGTAATGACTGTAGATTTATTACTTTTAGTTTAGTTAATAATTTCATATTATTAGACTAATATAAAAACGGTAAGCTAAACACTCACGTATATTCATCCGGTGGCGGCACCGACTAGTTTCGAGACCATCGGGGGCCCTTCATCAGGATGAGTGGTACTGGTATTATTGACGCGGCCCCCAGCTCACTGCGCGACTGCGCTCTAGAATAATTTAATTCCATATTATGTTTATATGTTTCCATTTACTTCTAGAACAAACACTCCCCGCCAGACGATGGAATACGCGGGATTTCCGTTCCCAGAAAACACGCCATCTTACCCATCTGGGGGCTGTTTTTACAAGTACCTTCAGAGTTTCGTCAAACATTTTGATCTCATGAAGTATATTCGTGTAAGTATCATTCTCACAATATACCTTGTAACATTTATCGTAACACTTATTATTGCCGTGGTTTTCCATTGTTGAAATACTCCTATGTTTTATTATATTTCTCGATCTCTTTGAAATAGTTAAGTTACAACTATACAGCGTGTTTCTGCGGTAGAGCGGCTGTAATAAATTAATCGTTCCGTATAAAGTTGGTAAGCAAATGTGAATTAAAGTTGTTGTAGTAACATTGTAAGTATTGTTGTAATAAACGTAAAATAAATTGAATAAAGTATCAAACTATTAAAGAGTAATAAAAATGTAGTAAAAAGTAAAATGCGGTGACATTCTATTATCAGATTGACTTTATCGTAACACAGTTGGTTATCATAAGAGTTAAAACTATTATTTGTAAATTAAATACATTAGAGTAACTTTCATCGATTTGATGGAGCAGTGTCTAGTTAACAATATGGTCAATTAATGAACAACAAAAGAAGACATGTTCCACAGACGTAGATGTCGAAGATAGAGCAAAGTGAAATAGACTTTAGGAATTATTATTATATTAGGAAAGCCAACCCCACCAACATATAGGGTGTAACAAATACGAGTTAGGTAGAAAGAGACGGAGAGAGAGAAAGAAAGACAGAGGGAGAGAGAAAGAAAGACAGAGAATAATCCACAAGCCACAGTTACTACTGAATTACTTTTAAATTCCGAACTATCAGGAAACTTCTTAAACAGCCTAAGTAGTAAAATCACGTTACCAGAATAGTTACGGAGTCTATTCAGTTTTGCAATAATTCAGTTATTTACTGTTATATTTTAGTTTCGTAGTCTAGTGACCAGAGTGCGATGGGCGGACGACCATTGGGACTTGACCTATATCGACAGCGACGATAAGAACAGTTACACTGATGCTTGCGACTTCCTCATTATCGCCAGTGGACAGTACAGTAATCCAGTAAAGCCTACATTCCAAGGACAGGATATTTTCAAAGGTTCGTTTACCAAGAGTTATCGGAAGTACGTTGAACCAGTGAATTTTATTTTTGTCGCGCCGAGTGATTGCGCCTGACGTTTTAAATTTTTAACCAACTAAACTAAATTGAAGATTATTGTTTTTTTTGGAAAGGTCAATTATAATTTTAATCTACACTAAAGAAATGCTTAAATGATTGCGAGTACATTGGTGATAAAGATAATCTTATGAGGCAAAGTGTCTCATACATTTAAAATACTGTTTTCCTTCCTTATAATTCAAATTTGTATACCAGGTAACATAATACATAGCCACGACTACAAGGACCCGGAGGTTTTCCGAGGTCGTAAGGTGATGGTTGTCGGCGCGGGTGCATCTGGTCTCGACCTCGCGACACATTTATCCAACGTCACCGCAAAGCTGGTCCACAGCCATCATCTCAACTACAACCAGCCCAAGTTCCCCGGCAACTACGTCAAGAAGCCAGATATAAATCTCTTCACGACAGATGGAGTTATTTTCCAAGATGGCTCCTTCGAGGATATCGATGACGTCATACTTTGTACTGGTATGTTTTTAATTTTACAGATATTATGTTTGTTCATCAACTGATATAAATATTATTACAATTTGTTTTCCTAATATTCCATATAGTAGTTGTGCACGTCTTTGTTCGCATGAAATTAAAAAAAAAACCTGAATTAGTCGCTTGTGTTCTTCCAGATTATATTCTGCATCTATGCTAAATTTCAACATTTTGCTGTGTTGGAGATATCTAATAATAAACGTCTATACATCCAAACATTCACACTTATAGTTAAAACTATGATTTCCATTAGGTTAAACAAACAAACAGACATCAAAAGTGTTCGAGTAGATAAAAAAATAGAAGAGGAGCTAATTCAAACCTTTGTCATTAAAAAAAAACTGTAAATAGTATCGTAGCTTAACGTTACTCAAATTTCAATTTCTTGTTTCGTCTTCCAGGTTATGAGTATAACCATTCGTTTGTGGACGAGAGCGCCGGGCTGACTGTGTCGGGCAAGTTCGTGCTGCCTCTGTACCAGCACATAGTCAACATCAGACATCCCACTATGACCTTCCTTGGTGTCGTAGGCAAAGTCATCACACGAGTAATGGATGCTCAGGTACGTAAATATTTATTAAATCGTTTAAGAGACAGTAAAATATTGACATGTTATTTGTTTCTTTATGTTTTGAGTAAATAGATCGATGTATTCCTTGACAATTAGAACAAAGTTATGAGCTTTCAAAATGGCCATGACCGACAATTTGCTTTTTGCAAACTTATTTATTTTATGGGAAATACTTAATTTCTGGTGATATAATTTAGCCACGTCTTTCTGTCTCGTGTTCCAAAGATGGTGCAATTATCATCAGCTCATTATACATCTTCACTGAGGTGCTCGGAGCCTAAGTTATGGGTGACTAGGACATAGTCAAACACTGGTTAAGTGCGGGTTGATTGCACATATATCTTTGAATTTGTTTTTAAATATGTGCTGGTTGCAACACAATGTTTTCCGTCATCTTAAAAATATGGTGCACTATTTGTGGTCGAATATTGGTATAGGATATTTTTTAATGTTTTTCAGGCGCAGTACGCAGCAGCTCTTGCCGGTGGTCTGTTCGAGCTGCCGCCCCAGCAGAGCATGCTTAGGACCTGGTTGGACCACGTGCGCTCTCTGCGCACCAAAAACTTAAAGATTATCGACGTCAACATCGTTGGTGATGACATGGTAAGAAATACATTAAACATTCTTAAACACGTTCAAAGATAATTCGATATGAAAGTAAATTCGCCTTGGGAATGGGCGGCACTTTCCAGTCTCGTGAAGTCCATGTCTGCTGTACTAAAACGCTACATCATTTATCATTGGTTTCTGAGATCGACATCTCTCTCATTGTAGACAAAACAAAATAAAAATATTTTACATACAGGGAATTTCGTCTCAGAAACTAACGAATCATGTTACAGTATTAAGGAACCTATCGTTGGTTTCAGAGGCCTTCCTTTAAACATAGTAAGACAAAATAGAGATATGTTTTATAAAGTTGGCCTTAGAAACCAGCAATTAGTTTTCTTACCACTTTACATTAAGCGTTATGTGCATGTTTGTGGCATATAAAGGGCTAATAAACGTTTATGTGTGTTAACGAATGTATGTGAAATATTGTGTGGTCTAGGACTACTACTTCGCGAACCTGACGTGCGAGGCGGGCGTGGTTCGCGCACCGCCCGTACTCAAAGCAATGCGGGACTTCAACGCTGTCAACCGACTAGAAGACCTCCTTAATTACAGAGATTACGACTACCAGATCTTAGATGATTGTACATACGATAGAAAATATAACCCAAGACCAGAAGACACTTGCTACATTGATATATAAGAACTATATAACTAAATTTATCGGATGTCAGATAATATCGACATATTGCCATCTCTCTTATTCTGTATTAAAAAGACAGAGATAATGTGCTACTACAATTAATACGTCAATGGATTTCAAGGTTACGAAATGTAAATCATAATAATATGTCATTGTCTATTGAAAAAATACAGTAATCTTTTTCGTGTGTATGTAAGTTTTTATGTATGTGAGTTTGTATGTAACACAGAGATATAACAATTCAAACTATTTTGTAGAGTAAGGTGTCATAGGATATATATCTAGAGTGTCATAGGATATTTTATATGGAAAAATAAATACAGTTTGAAAAACAAGTTCGAATCTCTATAGTCAACATTTTTTTTAATCACTAAATTAAAGTTTAGATTTTTCTAGCATCTTCTAAAATAAAGAAGTATCACATGTAACATTACTATATTTAGTTTAATTTATAAATTTAAAACTTGATAATGACGTCATAGTGACGTCTTGACATCATTTATCGTGGGTTTCTGAGTTCAAAATCATTGTATAAAATTTATCGTCATCCCTGTCATTATCTTTGACAAGTCCGATATACAGTGTTTTAAAAGATTTTAGACATAGAAACCCAAGGTTATATTTGTTTTAAAAAGCAGGCAATAGTAAGTCAGTCGGGATTTTTTTTAATTGTCTCTTTTTTTCCAATGACAATGTTAGGGATCGCATTATTGTAGTTATGCAAGTGTTGGGACAGTGGAAACCCATTGTCCTATTGTTAGCGTATTCGGAAAGAGATACGCCGATGATTTTGTTGTTGGATTGGTTTGTCCAGAACTATTTATTAGCGCTAGTGTGCTATGTTGCTTCTAAGCCAATCGTAAATTGTTTAAAATTCAATATACATAACGAGGTAGTGTTGTAAATGTTTACATTTTTAATTTATTAAATAAAAGCTCTCTATGACCGAGTCACATATACATGTCTACCTATAATGACATGAATTAACAGAATGCTTGGACAGTTTTGTGTAATCTGTGCTGTTAAGTGTTACCACTAGATGTATTTTGATAATCAATAAAAAATATTTCTAATAAATAATTTAATACCTTTATAAAATATTTAAAAAAAATTATTACCATATTGTAACACAAATTAAGACATTAAGTAACAATATATAATAAGTTTTAAAAAAGACAATATAAATGCCACAATGTTAGAGAACGTCATACCTTTAAGGCAATAATTATTAAAAATAAATATATAACTTCAAACATGGCTTATAATGTTAAAATATTAAACTTAATAAAACTGTAAATGCATGTTATAAAGACAAATATAATGATTAAACATATTACGTAAAAATAAATAAACAACAAAAAAAAGATTAACGTGTTTTTTAAACACTCTTCAAAAATAATTATATTTTACTTACAACAACAAAAATAAATACTGCTACTTTACG